TTGTTGCTAAATTGCCCTCCCTCCAAAATGGGTCATTTTATATTTTCCCAGACATTGTTTTCCTACTAGTGTCAACTCTGGCAGAGACTACAATAATCTGTTTAATCAGATAGGTCTCTTTGTTTTTTATTGCTGAGGAACAAAAAATTTAGTGGCTTAAAACAACATCATCATTTATTTTGCTCATGAATATGCAGTTTGGTTCGGCTTGGTGGGAACCATCTATGTGTCCGTTACTTGATGTCATTTCTGGCCTCTCAAAGGCTTATGTGTCTGGTATAGCTGGGTTTTCTCAGCTGGGTCTGAGGAGAAAACGTACACAGTCTTTTCCATGTGGCTGCTCGGCATCCTCACAGGAGGGTGACTGGAGTCTAAGGAAGAGCATCCTATAAAGAGGACCAGGTAATTTTATGACTTAGCTTCAGAAGTCACATGGCGTCATTTCTGCCATGGTCACAGACCTGCCCTCATTTAAGGCGGAGGGAACATAGACCCCACTTTGTAGTGGGGGAGTGGCAACATCACAGTGAAGGAGAGCATGTGGGGTGGGATGTGTTGGTGCTGCCATTCCTTGGGAACTAGGATCTACTGCAAGGTGAAATGTTTGCTTTGGTGTGCAGATCTTTAATTATGAGTATGATTATACATCTTTTCATATATTTATTGACCATTTCCATTTCTTTTTCTGTGGCTGGCCTTTTTATATCCTTTGCTCCCTTTTTAATTGTACTTTAGATTATTAACTATATTATTGATTTGTAATAGCTCTTGTAGACTAAACAAATTAGACTCAGATTTGTTTGAAGGTACCTCACTGTGGTCTTGGGAGTCAAAAGGTGTGTGTGGTTTGGTAGTTTAGTTTGGTGATGGTGAGAATATATGGAGTAATTATATTTAAGAACCACAGTACTCTTGTTTTTTAAGCAAGGGGTATAGGGAAGGGAGGGTGCATGAAACCATTTCCTCCTCCTCCTTTTGGCCATCAGCCTCCCTGAATCACTCTCCAGCAGTGATGAGTAACAAGATTAAAGACACCATCTATCTCGTTGGTCATTATTATACCTCAGAAGCCAGAAAATTTTAGAAGCTGGCAAGGAAAATGTAACATTTGGGAGGAGTATAGAACCCTAATGGTGTACTTTACCACTGAAAATTGCTTTGGATTTCTTTTTGGGGGTTTTCATTTTGAAGTGTGATTTGACTTACTATCACCTAGGTTGTAGTTCAAAATTATATCAACAAAAATGGATTGACGCAACAGAAATGATCATTTTCTGAAAATGATACTTAACAAAATGAAACATTTCTTTGTACTTTGTACTTTGTACATTTAAATTAGAATGTTACTCCTCATCTGTTAACCTGGTATGGAATGAATTCTTAATAAACAGTACAATTAAGTCTTCTCCTAGTTGTAGTCTTTGACAGATTTATAGGGACTGGGCTGGTGTTTGTCATTGTAGTTCTCATTTTAGGTATGATTTGATCCAGAGACTTAAATTCTCTCTGCAGGGCTTTCTAAAAAATTATGTATTATTTTTGAAGTATAGTTGATTTACAATATTAATTTCAGATGTACAGCATAGTTATTCAGTATTTTTACAGATTATATTCCAATAATAGTTATTACAAGCTAATATCTATAATTACCTGTGATATACAATATATCCTCCTTGCTTGTCTGTATTATACATAGTAATTTGTATCTCATAATCCCATACCTCTATCTTGCTCCACATCTCTTGACTCTGCTCTCTTACTTGCCGGTTTCATTCTTAGGTTTTGCTGTGATAGAAAGATGGCTGCCAGCATCTCTAGCCCCGTGTCCTTCCAAGTTCTAGGCTAGTAGGGAAAAATATGGGACTATCAACAATTTAATACAACTGGGTCTTCCATGGTCCCCACTCTGTCAGGGGGATGGAATGTGCTGTTTGGCTTGGCCTGATCTGGGTCACATGAATATCCTTGGAGGTGGAGGTGGAGTTAATTCTGCAGGAAGTAAATGGATTGATAGTAGGGGAGGGAGGTTCTGCAAAGGAGTAGCTGAGGTTTGTTGTTGTGCATTTTTTTTTAAACCAAATAGATGCTGGGCAGGACAAAACAAAAAATACCAAAACAAAACAAAAATTTTTCTTTAATCTACTGTTATGTTTTAAAGCAGCATTTCTAAGAGCATTAACAAAAAACTCCAACCATTTTAGGTTTTTTTAGAGGCACCAGTTTATAATCATACTAATGAGAAATTCTTTTTTACTTAAGCAAATATTTCAAATGTACAGTGCATGCCAATTAAGTCTTATTTTAGAATTTATACTTGAGAGGTTTGTAAAAAAAAAAAAGTTAAGGAATTTAAGATCATAATGGTCTTGCTCACTGCCAACATTTCAGATAACAGAGTTGTGCTCTAGTTAGCATCTATCAATCCTCAAAATCAAAGCTGAATAGGAGGTTTTAATTTTATTTGTTAGTGAATGTTTTAAAATGTTTTATATAGAATGTTTTATAGGTACTGTTTCAAAGATATTAAAGCCATGTTAATTCCAACTTAAAAATTAAAATCTTTTCAGCTTTAGTTTGGGGGATTGGTGTTTCTGGAGCTCAGTGTGGCTGCCAGAAAAAAGATACGGAAAGAGCATTTTATAATCATGAAAGCTTAGAGCACTTGAGAAAGTTTAAGGAGATTGATGGTAAAGAAGCTGCATGGAATGTTAGCTTAAAGAGTAATTTCAAAGTCTGTGTAAATTTTAATTACTTGATATTTTTACTCCTCTGAGATATTTGAGCCAATTTGGATCATAAGACAGAGTTGAAGTTAACTCTCTTTAGATGCGCCACTCAAGAGATAATCTGATGTTTACTTCTGTTTAAACAAGATCTAAAGCAGTGTGTTTATGCTAGATGGTTCCAGCAGGCCAGGAACTGCCACTATGTTGTACACTCTGGGACAGTTGAAGGTAGGTGAGTCCTGATGCATTGCTGAGACTTGTCTCCACTTTTAGTTGTTAGGTCCATTCTTAGGTTTGAAGTACTCTGTGTTCTCCTTCTATCTGGTGGGTGGGTGTCAGAATCCACTAAGGGTCCAGGTCTCTCAGGTTCATTGCAAGGCCCTAGGTCATACTAAGACCTTCTTGACTGGGTCAGTTCACTGGAGATTTATTAGTCCAATCAAAAACATCTGTTGTGTGCCTGCTGTTGCTAGGTATTCATCTAGATGCTGGAGATACAACAGTAAATAAAGTCTCTTTCCTTATGGAACTTACATTCTAGTTGGGGAAGATAGGTAAATACCTGGAACTCTCCATAATTCCATGTTAGGTATAATTACACGTTGTTTTGGTCAAGTATCGATTTTCTGGGGAACTGAGAACCAGAGAGGATCCTATAGGTCACTTGATTTCTTTAACATTTCCTTGGATTATAGGGTAATAATTTGGGCAAAGGTGGGTGATACCATAAGAAGTGATACTATGGTACAGAGGTCAAAACCACGTAAACAAGTGTTAGAAAAGTCTTGCTTTTATCTCTGTTCCCTCCAACCTGTTCTCACACCCATAGATAATACTTTTTCTGAGTTTCTGGTTTAACCTTCTGGTGTTTCTTTTTAATTGCATGATATCTTGGGGGAACGGGAGGAAGAAAGGAGATGGGAGACTGAAGGAAGGAGGTGAATGGGTGGAAATGGAAGAGAGGAGTTCTATTTAAGTAATGCTTGTTAAATGTTGTTCTACTGGCACTTTTTGTCCCACTTTCCCTCCTGCTAACTCTGAAAAAGGCAGATCATAAGTTTTTGAAAAATAAACTTTTTATTTGGAGTAATTTTAGATTTACAAAGAAAAGTTGCAAAGATAATACAGAGAATTCCCTTCATGCAGTTTCCTCTAAGATTAACATCTTACATTACCATTTTCATTTGTCAAAACTAAAAAACAACGTTGGCTTATTATTATTAAACTTCATTTTATTACAATTTGGTATTTTAAAAAAAAGCAATGAGCAGCTTTATGATAAAATTGGAATGAATATTTTAAAGAAGAAGCCAAGACGAAGGGCACAAGAGGGCTCCCGTGCACACTTACTGCCCTTCACCTAGATTATATCCGTAATTTACCCAGAGTTGATTTCCTTTATCTGTTCTAGCTTCTGGGAGGACCTTGTATTTTAATTAAGCATGGTGTAGTGAAAATACTTACCCTAGTGCTTTTGCAATAAATAAAATAAGGGAAAAGGCAAAAAATCAATGCTCTAAATATAGTTGGTTAATTTGTGGAGGAGTTTTTGGTTTTTTTGGTAAACCTTCTTATAAAATGCCTGATATGGTCAGTTCTGTTTTATACACATCAGTGGAGGGAAGCATAGAGATAATGATACATTGGAAAGCCACCCAGGTTGAGTGTTTGTAGACTCCACTGCTGATTTTAGCATCCTAGAGCTTGGAGTCTGAAGGTGCCTTGAGGTGCTTGTGTTAACTTCCTACATAATATAAAGATCTCTCCAGCAATATTCGTGCATCCATTACAGATTCAGTTTCTATCCAAGCCCTGCATACTGCTTTTGTAAGGCAGTCAGTTCCATTATCATTCTATTTGTCATAAAATTATTCTCTTGAGTTGAAGGATAGATCATTGTTCTGTCCACTGTAGTGACAGAGGAGTATAAAGACCTAACTGTGTCTATTAGGTATATACAGATACAAGAGATACAGGTATATATCTATGTATCTGTATAGATGTCTATATCTGTATCTACATTTGCTTGCTTTTCAAGAATATTTAATATCTTTTTATTTCATGCTGTCAAGAACCTCGTAAATGAGATAGGGCAGGAATAATTCCTGTTTGACAGAAGAGATGCTGAAGTATAAAGTGCCTGGGTTAAGGTTGCTGGCTTAATAAATAAATGACTGGGAAAACTTACTGTATTTCATTTTTGAATTGTAACTTTCAGAAAGTTTTATAGGAGGAAAAAACTGAATGCTCCTCTTTTTTTGTTATATTTTTCAGCGGCGTCTTAGACATCTCCGGAACATTGCTGCCCGGAACATTGTTAATAGAAATGGCCACCAACTCCTTGATACCTACTTCACGCTTCACTTGTGTAACACTGAAAAGATATATAAAGGTAAGAGAATCTGGACTTGCCACCCACAGGTAATTACATCTCGTTGCTCTTCTTTTGTAACATAAGTGATTCTCAGTGCCTCTTGCTGTTTTTACTTACTAGAAAGCTAAATTGTCATGCTATCTGAAAATATTTCATGAGCAGTTGTTATATATTGAAGAAACATGGCTTTTAGGTAGTTCTTTCAGATAACTGAGCCTTACATTGATTAATTTATCATTCCTATGGAATGCTAACAATTAATACTTTTATTCCAGTAGCTATCAGTTAAAATAGATTCCAGTATCCGGTACTAATTTGCTTTTCTTTAAAATGTAATTGATTCTTTTAATATTAAGGTAAAATTGAGACCTAGTTCATATCTTTTTATATCTGTATGTGTATATGAGGTCATTTTTAGAAGAATGGCATGGTTTCTTTGAATTCAGTTCTACATATTGAAATGTGGATTTTTCCATAAATAATTCTGAGAGAAGTTCAGATAGTTGATTCAAAATCGCAAGCATCTTTGAATACATACTGGACAAAAGGCACTTTGATATAATCAATTGACCTATGTTGGATAGTCTACGAGAGGAAGCATGGTATAATGACATTAATGTGTGATTTTTGGACAAAGATCATGGCTTTTTGAACCTCACTTTTCCCATTTGTCAAGTGGAGATAATGAGATCTTAAGAAATTAAGCAAGGGAGATTCTTCTGAGAATCAGCTGAGATGAGGTGATAACACTTGGTAAGATGTGATTAAAGGTCTATTTATATTAACCAAAGGAGGGATTATTTTAAAAAGAGGTACTAAGGACTTATTTGAGTTTTGTCCTGTGGCAAAGATGAAAAATTCAAATGACATTTTATCTTTTTAATTACTTTTAAAAACTATTATTAAAGCAGTAGTTGTTTAACAACTTTTTTTCTTTTTTAAATTTCAGTACCAGTATGTGTTAATTGAAAGATTCAATTAGGAATTACATAGAGTAGAAACCACCCCCACCAATGCAAATAGCATTAAAATAGTTTTAAGGGTGAAAAAAGGACTGAATTCCACCATTTTAACATAATTTTATTTCATTCTTACTGTTCATTCTAACTATTGCGTATTTTAAAAACAATTATATTAATCTGAATGATTAATGCTAGCTACTATAACAAATACCATAAATCTTAGTGACTTAACATAATAAATTTCTTGAACATTAAGTTTGGTGTAGGTGTTCTTTATCAGATACTGTCTTGGCAGCTACTCTAAGTGATGACTCAGGTATTCAGATTCCTGTTTTGGAGTGCTCCTTCTGGCAGGGTAAGAGAGAGGCATTATTTGAGGGAGACTTTTTTTTAATGGAAATAGTCCACATCAATTTCATCAGATTCCATTAGCCATGTATCAGTTGCACTGGGTTGTCATTTTTAGATGAAAAGGGAACTGAGAAATGTCTTCCTGTGTCGAGAAGGGAAATGGAACAGTTTGGTTGCTATTTGTCCCAAGAGTATAAGCATTTTTGTACATCTTAATACGTTTTGTCTGCTGCTCACTAATTAGTTTTATTACATATATTATAGCAATACATGACGATGCCAGAGTACTTTATATTTTTGATAGGTTTCTATGTCATCAGTCCTTGATTATCTTCATTAGAACTTCTGTGTTGTTGCTCCAGTGTTGTCTCTGACAATAGTAACTAACATTGAACTTGGTACGTATTTGGTAAATGGTAGCAATTATTATTAGAATTGTAATGTTAACAATCATAATAGTATCTTATAAAAAGAGAATAGTTGTGGGACTGGTTGATGATCATGATGCAAAAACTTGTCTGAGAGATGATGAAAGCAGTGATTTTTTTTTTTCTTTTGGTCTTCTTTTAGCTCAGTTTGTATCTTGAGCTTAGAAATTATTATAGACTGTTTGCTTCTTAGTGTTATCTCAATAAGATGATCACTAACACAATTAAGGAATAGCTGGTTTCAGACCATAGGAAGTCCAGTGTCTGCTACTTGTATTGAGTCTGTCACTAACTGCCAAGCCCTTTGCTACAACATTTAGTCCCTCTTGTGTGCTTTTAGTTAATTTATCTTTTAAATTAGAGGGTTGATGATTTCTAAGACTTTCTCCTGATCCAAAATGTCATGGTTGAACGCAGTCTACTCGGGTCTTCTTATTGGACCCACAGGTTTCCTTAGTGCACCTAGTTAATACCACCTTATCCTATGGGCCCATGATGACAAACATGAATGTTCGTTGCATGATCATTAATTATGTGGCCCTTGGTGTAGGATGACCATGATAGAAAGCCAGTTGGCTCTTCTCAAAACTACCTGTACTACCTGTCTAGTGGCACCAATTCTTAGTTTCAAAAGAAATTTTTTTTTATTGGAAGAATATCTGAAATGCTGATTTCTAAGATATTCTTTTATTTTAGCTGAAATCACGGCAGATCATAGAAAGTATGTGTGAGATTTTTTGATTTTTGACATTTTTTTGTTCTCTTAGGAGAGTCTGTTTTTCATGTATTTCGAATCAAACACCATTTATTACATTCCCAGGGAACAAAGCCTTGTGTTAATGAATGAGGAGCAAGGCTCCAATCCTGGTTCCCACTTAAACTTGGAATTTTTATAAAATCAAGTTTGTTCTTCAGCCATAGTTATTTCCCACTCGTGCCTGTCCTTTCCTGGGATGCCAACCAGGTGTTTTGAACCCATCAGAAGATGACCTCTGTATAATCCAATTTGATGATCTCATGCAAGTCTTGAAGTTTGAAATACCACTTGTCACTCTAATAACTTGAAAATACATTGGACGTCCCCCCTGACCTCATACCCTGTATTCAGTTGCCTGCTCTCCATCTCCATTTGGAGTCTAGTAGGTAACTTAAACTTGGTATATTCCACACTGAATTTCTGATATTCCAGCTCTAAACCACCTCCTGTATTCTTCCTTCTGTCAGAAAATGGCAACTCCATCCTTCCATTTTCTCATCCAAAAACCTTAGAATCATCTTGGGTTGTCCTTTTATATATTCCACATCCAGTCTTCCAGCAAATACTTTTGGTTCTTACTGTCAGAGTATATCTGTAATCTGCTCACTCTTACTACCTCCAAACCACTATCATATCTTACTAGAGCTATTGAAGTCGACTTCTAACAGATCTGCCTGCCCATGCACCCTCTTCAGTGTGTTCTCTCTGAGATCCTATTAAAATGACAGTGAGGTCATGTTATTTCTCTCCTCAAAACCCTCCAGCAGCTCCCCTTTTCATTCAGAGTAAAAGCTGCAGTTCTTGGTTTCCTTGGCCTTCTGTGACCTGGCTCTGACCTCTCCGAGCTCTTCTCCTTCTACTCTGGTTCACTCTGTCCCAGCCCCACTGACCTTCATGCTGTTCCTCGAATACATCATGTTTACTTTAGTTTGAAGGCCTCTGCACTGGCTGTTCTTTGGCCTGAGTGCTCCTTCCTCCTGATACCCACATGACTAATTCCTCTGCCTGCTTTATTTTTCTCCACAGTACCTCAGATCATCTTATGTACTATATGTTTAATTATTTGGTTAATACAGGTCTCTCTCCACTAGAGTGTAAGCTCTATATGGGCAGAGACTTTTAGATCATCATTGTTCACTGCATTATCCCCAGTAGTTGGAACAATGCTTGGCACAAAGTAATATTTTTCTTTTCATTTAATTTTTTGAATAACGAATGCAGTCCTTGGTTCAACATATATAAATATATTAAAGTATATATTAAAGTCTTCCTTTTGCCTGTCCTATCTCCCTAGTTTTCCACCCCGCCCTTGTCTTTCCTAAGATTCTTTTTGCAAATGCAAGTAAAAATAGTACCAAATTATATGTATATTTCTGTGCCTTGCCATTTTCACTTAATATATCTTAAATGTTTTTCCATACTGGTTTATAGAGAGCTTCTCTATTTTTTTGTTTTGTTTTGTTTTGTTTTCTGTTAGTTTTGCATTGAACAGATGTACCATGATTTATTTAACTGGCTCCTATTGGGCATTTAGCTGTATACACAGTACTGCAGTGAATAATTTTGTTGCTGTACATTATTTTGTGTGAATGCCTGTATAGCTATCGAGTAGGTCCTAAGGAGTGAGAGCACAGAGAGTGTGTCCTTGCAGTTTTGGTAAACGCTGCAAAATTGTCCTTGTTGATGTTCCCAGTTGCTGTGTACAGGGGCCCTTTTTTCCCACAGCCTCACCAATAGACGGCAATCTAACTTTTGAAATTTTGCCAGTCTGATAGGTGAAAGTTAGTTTTATAGTGTAGTTTAAGTTTGTGTTTCTTCTATTATGAGTGGGATTGAGGTACTAAAAAAATTGTTGAATAAATGGAATGCTGTATAACAGCCAAAACATGCCATCGAATCATGCTCTGCAATCTCTGATTGCTTTGTTTCTTCAGGTCTCAGAATGGGATAGAGAAACATTTGTATCTAATAGTCCCTTTCGTGGAGAACCAGTCTTGGACCATACCTTTTTGAAAATTTACTTGTCAGATAGTTTTGCTCAAATTGAATTAATACAAATTAATATAATTCTATTAATAAAAATTAATTCTATTAATTAATATTGTTAATAAAAATTAATAGAATTGTATCAATAAAAATATAGCTTATAAAGTATTTTTAATTCGCTATTTCATTTGAGCCTCAAAACGACCCTTTTATTTTCCAGGTGTCATTTTCTTTTGAAAGGTGAAGAAACTATGATCCCTAAAAATTAATTGGCTTATTTAGGGCGAGCTTATACATGGTGCACTGGAGACTGGGGCTGTTTTTTTAAATTCTAAATTCTTCTAAATTCACTATTCTGTTTTGCACCATGCTGCTGATTTCATTTGTAATATTTTAAATGTAACAGAATGATAGACAGTGTAGGCCCACATTTAACACTCTAGAAATTACCTCAGACTTGGTGATTCCTTTCTAAATTGTATGGCTCCTTTGTGGACTCTTCATTTGAATTAGCAAGTTCATTTTGAGGGCCTAATAGAGAAGACAGATTTAGTTTCATTTATACATACAGTTAGTCAGCAAAGTTTTGGAAAAAATAATGATGCTATTCATCTTTTTAGAGCTGGAGATACTTATTTTGGGGACTTTAATTTAGACAGTTTGCAGATTAAATTGGGGAATTCTTTCTCTGAAAAGAAAAAAAAGGAATATCTTTATGTTTCTTTTTTCACTGATTTTCGAAGTATTACATACTTGCATCAAATTCAGACAGTATAAAAGTGTATTAAGTGAAAGTACCTTGCAATAAAAAAAATGACACTTTTTTAGCACTGAATCTTTTTTCCCCTAAAAACATTTTTGGTGCATATAAATCAGAATATATGCATATGCGTTAAAAACATGTATATGTTATTTATACACATACATACATATGTATATTTAGGTAGTCAATTTATGGTTGGAATTGGTTAAAATTCATTTGGGGAAAAATGAAAAGAATAATACTTAGGGTTGCCTAGTATTAAATAGGGTTGTAAATTGGTACAATATTTTTAGAGAACAATTTGGCAATATCGAGCAAATTCATTTTTCCTTTTTATTTTTTCCTTTTATCCTGCAGTTTTACTTCTAAAAGTTTATAGATTCAGGTGTCTTAGGATATATATCTTTCAAAGGCTGTTTATAACATTACTCGAAATATCCAAAATTAGCATAATGTTTGTCAGTAGAAGATTCCTTTTAAAACAATTAGAATTATGTGTTTTCTTACTTAAAAGATGATTCAAAAGAGAAAACTTAAAAAACTGCCAAGCAAAAAATAAAAGTAAGCAACCTACTCCTATCACCTAAGATAAACATTGTTAACATAATTGTAAAGGTTTGGATCCTGTCGTAAATTCTCTATTGGAACTTTTTTTTTTTTCACTTAATTCATTATGACTGTCTCTCCACAAAATAGAATAATTATCCTATTTATAATTTTTTTTTAAAGGAAGACAAGGATAGGATTAATGTTGATGGTATGTTCGTCAGGAAACATTCTAACCAAAAGAGCTTGTCCATAAGAATTTTATACCCAGGTCCACTTTTCCTTTACTGCTTGACAATTCCCAAGCTTAGTCCTGCGGACTACTTTGACAAGTTCCACACTCCTTGAGTTTCATCTATACTGTTACATGCTTAATATATTTTTAAAAATTCATTATTTTAAACTCCTGTCTAAGCATAATCTGTGAAGTTGTTGATACAGTAAAAAATTTATTGCATGCCACCCTGTGCCAGGAATAGCTTAATATGCTGAGAAAACAGCACAGCTGTACAGAACAAATGCTACTGCTCTTATGAAACGTACAGTTAGGGGTTGAGTCTGTGAGACATACATTTCAATATATTAGAAAAAAATAAAGTTTGTTTTTGTATCACCTAAATCATCTCCTATACCAGTTGGATATGCATCACCCTTGGGAAATACTACCCTGTAGCAACATAAGGATACAAGGGTTCTTCTAGGCTCTGCATTGACAGAGCATCACAGAAGCGGCTTTGGCAGAGGGAATATTCAAGGGTTGTTGGGACACAGTTTCTCTTTTGATTGTATCTTCAGGTTTCATAACATTTACAACATATGTGAAAGTTTGTAGAATCATGACATTTTTAGTGCTTACAGAGGACCTTCGATTACTAGCCTAATTCTCTTAAGTTGTCTAATGAAGAAATGAGCCCAAGGAAATGAGAGTCAGGATGTTAATGACAGATGAAACTAGTGCCTAGGTTACCTGGTTGCTAGATGAGTATTCTTTTCGCAGTACTACAGTGGATAATCATTGGAGACATTGGAGAAAAACAGAGCGTATAGAATCTGTTGTAGAGAATTGCAATACGTAAGGGAGAAGAAAGTCTTGAGTTTTTAAGGGCTCATATTAGAATCTGGGGTAAAAGGAGACAGTAAGGCGAAAATCACTGAATTAAATATTAAAGGTTTTGACCTTTCTTTACTAATGTTTTTCCCTTTCAAACACTTATTTAATCACTATTTCTATTTTAATTTACTTTTTGCAGATAAAGATATGGAGAGAATAGATCCCTTGAAAATGTTTTAAGTGTTTTTTTTACTGTAACAGATGTTAAAGAAGGTATAGGATTAAGAGTTAGCTTATTTTCTTATCACTTACTGTTCTTTTTCTTCTTTTCCAGAATTTTATAGAAGTGAAGTGATTAAGAATTCCTTGGTAAGTTTGCTCTCTGACAGGTACATATGACTAAGCCTATAACTCCCGTGTCAGAAAATGCTAAGACATAAAATCAATCGAAGTTCAGTTCTGGTATTATGGCACATCTACTGTTAAATCTTACGCTCAGTTATTGCTTAAATCTTCATTGATTTGTCCATCGCTGTATCCCTAGTGCCTAGAGCATGCCTGGCACAAAATAGGTGCTTGATAAATACTTGCTGAATAAAATGGTATTTTTTTCTGTTGAAAACTTGTTTTTTCAACTCAAATTCTGTAATTCTGTCACTTCTATTTTCTCCAGAGATTTTTGACTATTTCACTTACCAAATATAATAATAAATGACATCTTTGTTAGATATAGTTCTCAAGAATTTTATGTCTAGGGCCATGTACAGAATCCTTCCGCTTGTTTTTTGGTAGTAGCATCACTCAGAAAGTTGGAAACGTCCTACTTTTGATAATGTATATACTAGATATTTACATAGATGTCTCACTTTATTCAACCTGTTGATAAAAAGAAGAGCTTTATGGAAATGATAATATCCTTTTAACAGTCCAAGACCATTGGACTGGATTTGGCCCCTGTCCAGTTTTTCAACTTTATCTCCTAACACTTTTCCTACCTTATTCCAGGCTTACCTCATTTTTTTCAGTGCTTCAAACATGCCAAGCTTGTCTTGTTATTTGTGCCTACAACACTTGTTTCCCCACGTCTTCGTTTGACTGAAGAATCCTTTGAGGTCTGAGCTATGTCACTTCAGCCAGGCCTTCTATTATTGTTCCATCTAAATAGTTCCCTTTCCACTCTTTTTCACATCACCTTGTTTTATTTTCTTTAGAGCATTTACCACTCCTGGAAAACTCTTGTCCCTTTATTTATTATCTGTCTCCTGCCTACCAAAACATAAGTTCCATTAGAGCAGGAACCTTGCCAGTCTTGTTCACCTCTGAAACCCTAAAGTCTAGAACACTGTAGATGCTCAGTGAATATTTGTTAATTGAGTAAGTGGATATCAGTGATGTGTTTTATTTACGGAATCCTATTGCGTGTTATCTCATTTTGATCCTTAGAACAACTTGTAAGGGAGATGGGGTAGATCTTGAGAAGCTGACATTTGGACTCAGTGACTTTCACAGAGACATACTACAGGACCAGAACCCCAGTCTTGACCTTTGTCTTCAAGTCTCTAATACTCTTTCCTCTTCATCAAACTGTCCTCTAAATGTCTCTGAAATACCATAATAGATTTGGATCCTGAACCAGACAGGTTCCTGGAGCCCATCTTTGTGGAGCGCTGGTTACCATTAAAGGTCTTGTTCTACATACATTAAATGATATATAATATGACTAGCACCATGTCTGACATATAGTAGCTACTGAATATAGTTTCTCCTCCTATCCTGGCTCACCTGGAAACAGAAGTGGTCTACAGTCAGTTGAGAGCTGGGGAGGGGATGGTTTAGGGAGCAGATAGAGCAGAATGTCTTCTTGATTTGTCCCACCCTTTGTTCCATAGTCAAAACTCAATTTCTTAAATTTAATACACTCATATAACCAATGTCCAGATCAAGAAATAGAATATTTTCAGTGCCCCAGAAGTCCCATCTTACCCTTTTCAGTTACTATTACTCTCCTGACATTTAACATCATAAATTAATTTTGCCTGTTTGTGAGCTTTATATAAATGAAAAGAATACAGTATGCATTCTTTTGTGTCTGACTTCCATGTCTCAACTTCGTGTTTTAAGAGTCATTCATGTTGTGGGCTGTATTTGTAGTTTGCTCTATAGTGTGTCATTGTGCAAGTATACCAGAATTTATCCATTCTTCTGTTGATGGGAGTTTGGTTGATAGGATGTTTTAAATGACGGACTAAGCACATGTAGTGCCAATAGTGTGCCTAACTTATGAGAACTGATAATAAGAACAGCTATTTTTAAGGATGTGAATGTAGAGACAGTGACGCCTGATGACTGCCACCTGGTGGTCAAAGAGTTTAGGACCTTATTGATTTTATTAACATTTATTTCTAAAGTCAGAATCCATCTTAAAATTGAAGAAAAATGCTTGTCAGAATTGATGATAAATTGGAATATGTTACATGGTAGTAAATATAATAGAGTAAAATAAAGCAGAATAAGGGAGTATCTGGCAGGGGTGATTGCTGTTTTCCTATGGTAGTCAGAGAGCAGACACTTGAAAGAAGTGAGGGGACAAGCTATGTCTCTTGGCAAAGACTGTTCCAGGCCAAGAAGTAGGAAAGCACAAAGGTAGGCGTGTACTTGAAGTTTTCAAGGAATGGCTAAGAAGTTAATATGGCTCAGCTGGGGGAGTGGTTTGAGATTTTGCTAGGCAAGCATGACAGAGACATGGGGTAAGAGAGTTGAAGATCAGGGCAGAGGAGAAAATGACCTGGAGAGATAGCGGATGATAGTCAAGGGGTGGATAGCATGAGGATGAGATTCTGGCAGGTAACATAAAGTTAGGAGCATCTGGTAGATGAATTATTCACGCTGAAGAGAAATGACACCAGACAGAAACTTGGATCTGTACAAAGGAATAAAAAGTACTTGGGAAATAGTAAATATTGAGTAAATACAAAAGATTATTTTTTTCTTATCTTATTTTCTTTATATCATATATGACTGTTTAAAGCAAAACCTATAACTGCATAGAGGGTTTTATAATGTATGTATAGACCACACGTGTGAAAGAAATGGCACAAATGACAGAACGTGGGTAACTGGAACTATACTGTTACAAGGTTCGTCTGTTTGACATGAAGTAATTAAGGGTACATATAGTAATCCCTAGAGCAGTGATTAAAAAATTAATGCATTTCACCGTATATAACTTTTACTTTTAAAAAACCTGTAAATAAGTATTGAACTCTAATGTGCAGATTGGCTTTTTACAGTGGTAAGGATTACCAATTCTAAGGCTACTTTCTGTGTATTTTAAACTAAAAATGCATTAATTTTAACTATACAGTTAGCTGAATTTTGATAAGTGCACACACATCTGTCAAGATATATACATTTCCCGTCATTCCAGACATTTCCCTTGTGCCGAATCTTTCCCCCTACAAGAGGAAATCATTTTCACCCTAGATTAGTTTTGCCTCTTTTAGAACTTCATATAAATGGAATCATCATACAGTATGTATTTTTTAATATTCTATTTCAGATTCTTGACTTGCCTTTTCAGCTGTACTTTGCATTAATTTTTAAATCATTGCTCTAGGGATTACTATATGTACCCTTAATTACTTCATGTAAAACAGACGAACCTTGTAAGTGTGTAGTTCCAGTTACTCACCTTCTGTCATTTGTGCCATTTCTTTCACATGTGTGGTCTCTACATGTATTATAAAACCCTCTATGCAGTTATAGGTTTTGCTTTAAACAGTCATATATGACATAAAATAAGATAAGAAAAAAAGTCTTTTGTATTTACTTAGTATTTACCATTTACCAAATAACTTTTTATTCCTTTATATGGATCCAAGTTTATGTCTGGTGTCATTTCTCTTCAGCCTGAATAATGGCTTTTAACACTTCTTGTGGTACAGGTCTGTACAGTTATTCCTAGACCTTAATGTTCATCTTCATATTTAAATGAAACTCTACCCTTATTTTGCAGGGTTGCTAAAACAACTTTGAGAGGATAGAGACTGGGGGTTATTTAAGAATGGAGTTCTATTGATTTTAGGTTGAAATTCTTGTGTGGCTTGGAATCAGTATATAACTGATTGCACAAATGTGTTTACTATGTTATCATTATGCTGTTTATTGATCATCGTTCAGTGTCCTCAGACATCTGTATCGGTTAATCAGACATTCATTCACTCATTCAGCAAATATTTATTGAGCGTATACCAGGTACTTCTCAAGCTTTTGAGGATCTTGTGGCAAACAAATCAGGCACTGTTCCTGTCTATCAGAGCTTTTATTTTAGTGGAAGGAAATCAGGCAAGAAAAACAATCAACATACAAGTGAAAAAAGATACATCAGACTTAAGTGTCATGAAACTGGAAGTCATGTCCCCTCTCCTGAAACTTCACAGCCAAACCCACAAAATACGTACACCAATATATCCCCTAAAAGAAAATCACTGCCTTAGTTCTCTTCCTACTTTGATCAGGTGAAAAAATGCTGTAAAGCTAAAAACAGTTACCCTTATATGAGGCCCTTCTGATTTATTGATTTATATGATATGAAAATTGATAATTTATTGCGATTGATTATAATTTTATATATTATTTATATTATAGTTTATTGAGATTGATTATGGTTACATTCAGCAATAAAAATACATTTAATACGAGGGAAATAAATGAAAGTAAGAAATTGATGCATTATAGTTCATATCTATTGAAATTATTAAAGCCCCTTAACATTTTTACTTTTCAGAGAATGTTTTAATTATTTGGATAATACTCTTAATGAAAAATGAAGTTCTTTCTGAGCCTAAAGTTGACCTTTTTTTTGGTTTGTTTCTTTTTTTTTAATTAATGGAGGCACTGGGGATTGAACTCAGGACCTTGTGCGTGCTGAGCATGTGTTCTACCACTGAGCTATACCCTCCCCCCAAAAACCTTTCAATCTTAACCTTAAAACCTTTCAATGGCCCCACCTCTTATCTGTAGTAAAGTACTCCTTGGCACAGAATCCTTTGTTTCTCTCTCCAGCTTTGTGTGCTGGCACTCTTGTGTTGTGTACTCCAGCAGTTGTCTTAGTTCCCTGACTATACCTTGCTGTTCCATGCCCCTGAGCCATTGTTTATGTTCCTTTTGCCTGGAATTTCTTATTTTAACCTGGTGAAATCCTTTTTGTCCTTTAAAAGTAAATTGTCATAGCCTGTGTAATGTCTCCCCCTGTTCCTTCAGAATTTATTATTCCCTCCTGTGCTGCTGTGTAACCTTTTGAATAATTCTGTTACTGGACTTCTCAGGAAGCAATGTAATTATTTAAATAGAGGTTTGAATCCAACAATAAATTGGAGGTACTTTGAGCGCATTGTTTATATTTTTCTTCTAAATAATTGTGCATTATGTGTTGAATAAATAAATGAATTACCAAATGAAGCCATGCTATTGAGAGATTAGAATATATGCTCCTTCTAATGACTCTAATAAATAGAGAAATTAAAAAGTACCAATATCTTTCTCTTCATATTAAGTGGAGTGTCTTGGTTCACCGAAGTTTCCAGTTTAATGTATTCGTGAGTTCTTTCGGTTTTTTAAAACAAAATGATTTACAACCTAACTGAAATAACTGTAAACAAGTTACAGTTTTCCTAAGGCATGTTTTCATTTTCATCAACAGAATCCAACATGGCGGAGTCTTGACTTTGGAATAATGCCAGACCGTCTCGATACATCTGTGTCTTGTTTTGTAGTGAAGATATGGGGTGGAAAGGAGGACATCTATCAGCTGTTGATTGAATGGAAAGTCTGTTTGGATGGGTTAAAATATTTGGGTCAGCAGGTAATTTTTAGACTGCAGTTTCAAATAGTTGTCATCTCTAATAAACTGTCTAATCTTTTTTGTTGATTCTTCTGATTCTACATTCCTTATTATAAAGGATACACCTTTTATGATTATTAACTTAATTATAGAAGTTTGAGTTTTTGCCAAGTTTAAAAAATAACTGAAGAAATTTACGAAGTACCCCCTTAAGCTCCTAATTTAAGAGGATTTTCTGGGGGAAGGGGGTGAGAAAGAATACGCTTCTGTCTTATTGGATGTTCCCCACTAGGGTCTGCAAATTAAGTTATAATAAATTTTTAAAAAAATATTTATTTATACAATGTAAATAAACACTT